TTTTATTTTTATATACATTTAATTGTATTAAATATATATTATATATAAAAAAACTTATTAGACTTACTAGATTAATATGAAAATTTATATTATATTCTATATAAATAGAATTTTCAATCTAATTACTATTTTTGAAAATATAAATTAAAAAATAAAATTTTAAATATATCCTTTAAAAAAATTTAAAAGAATGATATATAAAATATTTTTTTCTTAAAATCAATAAATAAATATAATAGTAAATAGTTGGGTCCCCAATGGACAAACAAATAACTTAATAACAAGTTTAAGATGATAAGAACCGGGCCTCTGGCCCAATGGTTTACCCCCAAGCTTTAGTGCTTGGGTGAGATAGTGGTTAAAGTTTCGAATTTTACTACCGTCGTGAACTTAATCAAAATGCGAGCTAATGGCTGTGGGAGTGGAATGTTCACCTGTTCTGAGAGATTTCAGTTGCTAACAACTAACTCATACTAACTTTCTAATCATTACCCTTGTAAAATAAAAAAAAAAAGTTTAAAATTATAAATTTATATTAATATGTAGTTACATTGTTATCCTATCATTCTCTTAATTTATAAGTCTATTTTTTATTTAATAATTTAATTTGTCCAATCCAATACATGTTAGATTTCACACCCTTTTTTTTTTCTTTTTTCTTTTTTTTGGGTTTTTGGCTTTTTGGTTTACTCTTCAATGGAAAGGACCATTTACATATCGGAATAAGGTCTCGCAACCCCAAGGGCTAGGTGCGTTGTCGTGGGTGTGTGGGAACATTCACCCTTAACCATCCTTTGAAAGATATCTACAGGGGTTTATCTGCAATTTTGCTATATCATCTGAAGGAGCAAGCATATAATGAGTGGGCATCCCCTTTACTCGATTGAAAACTTTGCAATGAAAATAAATAAACATTTGTTGTTATCCCGAATAAGAAAGGAAGGATCAATTGGCTTTTCCTACTATGCACTAACCAAATTGGAAGTTGCCAAACGGATTAGATCAAATACCTTTTGTTATGGTCATGGTCTACACACTTAAGGGCTCCTTATAGAAGTCACTTTGTGCTATGTTTATAGGAAACTATACGATTTGCTCGAACCATAGGCTGATGCCTGAATTTTGGATTTTCAATCGTTATGCTATCTGGAGGTAAACTAGCTCCATTTGCATAGAAACCAATAAAACACATTGTATTTGTATACCATAATGGTGTTGTTTATTATTGTGATGCCCTGAATTTCACGTCAATAAGAAAATGTAATTGATTATGATATATAATGATCAACTATTATTAATAATTTAAATTTAAACTATTAAGGGTTAACGAATCTTGATCCAAAAAGTTGTCAATGGTAGGATTCCACTCAAGTGTTTCAATTGTTATCAAAGTAGTCATCTCTCCCAAATATAGGCCCATGCTAATTACTATAACTAGTGATAGTGTAAACCTCACATCACTTGAGATAGATCTTGTGCTTATGATCCAATGGGTGTGATTGGGCTTAATGAGAACATCGAACGTTAATTGGTCTTGTTCTGATTGTGATTGGGTTTAATGAGAACATCAAACGGTAATTGATCTTGTTCTAATTGTGATTGGGTTTGATAAAAACATTAAATGTTTAAATAGAGGAGAGATTGTGACATCTTGAGTTTCACATTAGTGAAAAAGTAATGCTTCTTCTTGTTTGCTAAGAAGCAGAAATGCTGGCAAATTTTCAAATTGAAAGAAAGTAACAATACAATCAAGACCTAAGTTGGAATATAGTCCAATTTGTTTCTTTGGAAAGTCCCATATATATAAGTAATTATCCTTATATTTTTTATTTTTCTGTTTTGTATACTATATAATATATAAAAAAATATTATGCAACTCAAACTATACAATATAAATTATTAAAAATGGATAAATCTCTTGATATTAATAATTATCATCCATCCAATAATTCTTAATTTCCCGTTCAATACAATCTGCATTACAAAACTGAAAGTCATTATTATATCATTCCTAATAGTAACATTCCAGTTCCATTTCATTTTTGGTCAGTCGATTAAAGTTGAGCAAGCTGCCGGATATTGATCGCAGAAATATAATCGGAGTTTCCATCCATCAGACGTTTTGCTAGTATGATATTAGCAGCTTCAGAAGGATGGTATGCATCCCAGAACACATACTTGGATCTATCAGGACAGACTTTAGATAACGGACCACATGGAACCAGGCCACCATGTCGCCCTCCCAAAGAGCAACATGCAGAATTTGCATTCACAAAACCTGTACAGACATAAACACAACATGAGAATTCATTCCAGAATTTGTCCTAAAAATAGACAAGTTAACAGCATTCATACCATATGATTTGGAATTCTGTAAGATGTCATTTACTATGCGATAAGTATCAGCATAGATCAAAACTGATCCATTCAGACTCGTCCTAAGCTCATCAAGAAGGTTTCTCAACTCGGAGTTGTATAATTGAACCATGTGATTTGCAGAACTAACACAGTTTTCCCCTGCGCCTGGGTTAGTGTCTCTCTCATATGGTATGCAGTATGCACCCAACTGGACCGACGTTTGTTACAACCATCTTCCTAGCTCCCAAACTGTAAAGTCTCTGCAGACATTTATATTCTGACATTCTTTTCGTAAGACATGTCTTTGAAGGTTTGATTAGAAATATAATTAATTAACATTGTAATGGAACTTACAGAAAGCTGTTGCCTGAATCTTGTAATCATGGTGGCAACAAACAGTTCCGGTGAAACCATCTGTTGTTCAGGTTCTGAGAGTATTGGTGTCAAGTAGTTGTTGATAAAATCATTCGAGCCAATTGTAACCGAGAATAAAGAACTTTCAAACAACTTCATGGCTGCAGAAGCACCTATACTGGAGATTATATCTTGTCTGGTATTTGCAAAGTTATCTATCTGTGCATTCAGGTTGATTCGACCACCCTGATCAATGATTGAATATGTATTATTCGTTTATTCTTGAAAAATGCAACAATCATGAGATGGAAGCATGTTGTGGAAGCTCAATTTTTATTCAGTGGGTTGGAAATCTTACAAAGACCTCCCCAGTTTTGTTAAGAATTCCACCTGCACCGGAAGCATAGTTGACACCCTGAAGAACCACAGGTCCTTTCGTGGTAGGGGCCAAGTAAAGAGGAGGAAAACTTTTAAAACCCAATTCCTGACCTGGTAAGTCAAAACATTAGGTTACAGTATCACAAGAACAGAACTTGTTCTTGCAAACGTTAAATCTAGCATATAGAAAGAGGAACTTGCTTATGATATCTACTGCTGTTCTTCCATTAGTGAATCGTCCGGTTGGTCCTCCAAGATCAATCCCATTTGGTACATAATTAGCCTTGGAGAGTGACACGATGTAGTTGTTAACTTGTTATTACCTGCGTCGACTAAAGAGTCTCCAAAAATAAAAGCAGCAGGAATCTTGTTTGCCAAGCAGAATTTGAACAAAAG